AATCTTCCGTTGTCTAAAAGCCAATTCACATTAAAACATCAAACTAGAACATTGCAGATTTTCTTCTATCAGCAGCCGATTTACTTCGCCTTTCAGCAGCAGCCGCGTATAGCTTATTTACAGCTTTGCGACGAATGCGAGTAGCAAAGTTTTTAGCAATATCGGGTCCTTTAGGTTGACGAATTGGAAGAACTGCATCAGAATGCATTCTCATAGGACCCCCGAACACGCTATAATTAATCAATAAAAAATAATAATTTGATAAGCAAATCATATCTAATGTTGGAATAGAAAGAATAGAAAGAGTTAAACATTTACCTTCTTCGTCTTTCATCTTTTGCGGTTGCAGGAAGAGAATTAGAACGATGGTTTTGCAAAGTTCCAGTAGGTGTATGGGGAATATACTCTTGTGAGTAATCATAATAATAGTAAGATTGACCTTCCTCCTGCTCCTCCTCGCACGGAGGCATGGTGCATAGATCATAATAATCAGCACTAGTGAAACCTTCAGGAGGACCGTAGCCTGGAGTAGGCGGTGACGACCCTTGAGAATCAGAATCATCAGGATGACTGAGAACGACCACGGGAGTACCTGGTCCCAATTGAACCTGACGATAGTCGGCCGTCACAAATCTAAGAGGAGCAGGTGTAGAACTATAACGTCTAAAACGAGATGGTTCAACAGTTTGAACGTAGGTTGGATCACCATACACGAAGGCATAAGCTGATTGAGGAAGGGTAGCTGATTGTGGTGCTCTCATTGATTGCCTAGTGTCTTTTGGAAATCCTGATGATTTTGTAGCAAAGGTAGCAGTTTTTGGAGGGTTTGGAAGATTGAGGGCTCTATTCACCTTTGGGGGAAAAGTTGCTGTTTGAGGAACCCTGCTCAAATTTGAAACGTGAGACGACTTTGACAAATTAAGTGGCTTGGGGGTGGGTCTAGAAGAACTGGCTGTTTTTTGTTTGGGAGCGGGAGCAGTAGCGGGAACATTATTTTGTGGAGGAGGTGAAGACCTTGAAACAAATACAGTCTGCGGAGGTGACGACCTGGTAGGCATGTTGGTCATATGAGGTTGTTGTTGAGGTGCAGTTTTTACAAGAGTTGCGGTCTTTGTTGGTTGCATGGCATAAACTTGTTGATTTGGTTTAGGAAACTGTGCGGTTTTTGGAGTTCGAAGAGGTTGAACTCCAGAATTATTATTACTACCAGCCGTTCTTGAAGTATTACTCACACTCTGAGCACTCTCCACATTAATTGACCTTAGGTTTACAGGTTTAGACTTGTTGCTACCACTATCCCTACGTTTACCTTGGTCACCGTTTGAGTTATTATTCCTCCAGGATTGTCTGGTAGGATCTTGGCTGGACGGTTGATGTTGAACTTGCACACCGCCGGCGTCCATAATCTTATAACTTTACAAAGGAGTTTTGACTGAGTTTTTAAATTAATACGAGGTATAGTTTTTTTTTGGTTTGTTTCAAATGGTCGTTTTTTCGCTTTTGTTTTTGTAAAATATAATTACAGTATACCGTGTGAGAAGTAAAAAAAAAAAAAAATACAGTAACGGAGAAAATAAAGCTGTCAACGATAAAAAAAAAAGTCCAAGAGTGAATTGTAACGAGCAAAAAGTTGTCTTTGGACGGGAAACGAGTGACTGGGTACCTATAATGATGCAGGACCAGCCAGTGGCCCACTGTCCCAAGAATGATTCAAAGAGTAGAGGGAATGAGTTCCTTGAGACAGAAGCAAATATACTTTTGAACACAAGTTGGCGGACTAATTGTAAGTGACATAAAAGGGTGGGACATTTGAGCAACCTGTAGGGCTGAATCAAATGACCTATCTTAAATAATAAATTTGTTTTACAGGCAATACTGTGACAATTGTGAATTATAAGCAGACAAGCAGACCACTCACGATTTTACACAAATTTCCCGCAAAAGAAAAGAGGAGGCGGAGAAAGGTTCGGACTTGAAACCAATAAAATTCAAGCAAAGTGATTGCTTAGTATACAAATTCTGCGTACATCTATTTACTATTCTATTTACTATTATTTATATTGTTCTTTTGAGTTGATTGGTAACATAAGATGCAAATAAGGTTGACAAGAACTTAAGAAATTTTACTGTGTATATAATAACGAAAATAAAATTCCACTTGAGTAAAAAAATCTATAAAGGTTCTACAAAGTAATCCGGCTACTTTAGTATTTATTAGTAGCGTCATGCCATAGAGCTTTGAGAATTCTTTTTTTTTGAAGTTATTTTATTCGAGGCTTTCGGGTTATGTAGGATCGCGTTCCAAATCAAGTAATTGTTGTTTGTTGCCTAAGTCCATATTTTGTTTGGTAGATCCTGTTATTACAGGTATTTTGAGTGAAAGCTTGAATAATAATCCAAGCCTCATAGAAAAAGCTACGAATTTTTCCGGTTGTCCGGAGGAAGACAATTTAGGAAATTTGTTATAATTATTACTTTTAACTAAATTCGTTATGTATATTGAACTAAAAAAAATATATACTATACTGTATATGGCAGTATAGTATGTATTATACGTATCATACAGATACAGTATGTAGTATACGTACATAAGCGCCAAATACTGTATATATAATTAATTTTAATTGGCTAATTAAAATTTAATTAAATTAAATATATATATATATCAGATATAGTATACTGTACGTAGCGGCATTTATTTTTCACATACGTAAATCCAATTAAATTAACTGATTTTTTGAAACATGGCGATTTGATTGAATTCGCGTACGTGAAAAATAAAAATGTATTATATTATATTTAAAATAAATTTTTAAATTTTTTTATTATACATATAGCGTTTCTACAAAAAATTGTTTATTCTCATTTTAAGATCAGGTGTAACGTGATAGTTAGGGTTCGGGCACGGTTAAAAAATTAGACATGCCTGAGATTGAGGCATGCCTTTTGGTAGGGTTCGAGGCACAGAGGCACGGGCATGCCTATGGGCATGCCGAAAGGCTAATAGGCATGCCCTAATCATGTGATATGCAATCA